CAAAAATAGAATTGATCTCAACTCCATTGAATATTGAAGCAGGAAGGAAATGCGGGACATTAATTCCACCTTTTTCCTGAACCTCAAACACATAAAAATCAGCAATAATGAAAAAAAAGCATAGCTATAAATCAAGCCAAGAGAAGAAATTTTTTCTTTCATAAAACAAAATTTATTCCAATAACATAAGCATTCGATAATATGATTTCCCACCTTTTATAAGCATATCATCATCATCATCATCATCATCATCATCGTGATCATCATCATTAGAGCCTTTTCCCAACTATTTGGGGTCGGCTACATGAATCCTAGTCCGTCATTCTACTCTATCACAGGCTATACCTTCAATGTGGTTTCATAAGCATATGAAACCTTAAATACTAACTTGAAATCTAATTGGTTGAGAAAAGGCTCTGATGATGATGATCTAATTAAACAATTTAAGACTCTAAAATATCCCTAAAAAATACTAAAATTCCAAAAATACCACTATAAACAGTCCCATCAATAGTATCCGTGAACAGTACCCACAAATAGTAACTAATGAATAGTAAAAAAAGAAAAAAAATAGAAACCAAGTACTAAAAAATAGAAATTAAGTGTTGACACTATAATTCCTAAAAAAAAATAACTCTAAAAACATATATACACCCACATCTATGAAATCAAAAAATAAATAAATAAAATTAATTTTTTGAATCATCCAACTCTTTATCTTCATTATTCTCCCCTGGTTAGAGAAAACTCGTCCTCACATTTTGAAATGGGTTAATACAAATCCTCCTCTCAAAACAAGGTCTCTCTCAACCAGAATATTATGCACTGATATTAGGGCTTGATCTTGGGACCATGAGTTACAGACCTGATCAAAATATCTTCACTAGTTGTTAAGGATTTTGGTGCATCCAGCTATAGTAGCCTGCCTTTGTGGGATGGAATCCTCTAGTTGGAAAGAGGAAAGAACAGCCCCTCCACTGGTGAGAGAAAAGAGTTCTTTACGGTCATTGTCTCCAGTTGCAGCCCCTTTTATCTCTTCACCACCACCACTATCGTGGTCATTACCATCATTGCAATGACCATCACCATCACAAGCAACTTGTTCTTTTTCATAGATAGGAACTCCAAGTTCTTCATTTTCGCCCAATCGTTCACAAAAGTGGGACCAACCGCTGATTTAAAAAATATTGAATCCAATTGAAGATTGGATTTAGGGGTGGCAACGAATTGGGTATGGGTCGGGTCCTGCTGGACCCATACCCGGACCCGGACCCGAACCCGAACCCGATGGATCCATAGATCCCATACCCGGACCCGGACCCGAACCCGGTGGATCCATAGATCCCATACCCGTACCAGTACCCGAAAAGCAGGTTTGGACCCAGGACCGGCCCGTACCCGGAATGCTCTCTTCTCCCCTCTCTCTCTCTGTCTAAGCTCCCTAGATGCTCTCTTCCCCTCTCTCTGAGCTCCTCTCTCTCTCTCTCTCTCTCTCTCTCTCTCTCTCTCTCTCTCTCTCTCTCTCTCTCTCTCTCTCTAAGCTCCTCAGTCCTCAAAAAATCCTTATCTTTAACAGAGACTCTTTGTCTCTCTTTTTTTGAGAGAGAGACATTTCCAATTTTCATTTCACAAGCATTTTCACAATAACAATGGCACAAACAAAACACCATTCACTTCACTCTACAGAGACTGATAGAGGGAGACAAAGACGTGTAGAGACAGAGAGAAAGATAGAGAGAATTAGAAGCAGAGAAATGGAGAGAGAAATAGAGGGATAGAGAGAAAAAGACAGATATAATGAGAGAGAGAGAGCCACTAGCCCTCTCCTATTCAAAACCAAAGCAGAAACCCTAACCCCTTAACCCATTCCTCTCTACGCTCATACAAATTTTCATCACACACCTGCAAATCAAAGAACCACACATCTCCAATAACACAAGATCAGCCTCATGTCCAAGAAAACCAGTTACATCTTTTGACTCTGCAACAAAGCTTCCCGAAACCATTATTTGAGCTCGGACTCTCTCTCTAAACCAAAGCACCGCAGCTGAATTTTTGGCATTGCAGCTGGAAACAAATCCTCGAAGCCACAGATCCAAATGCTGAAGTTTCAGAGGAGGCTAGGTTTTGGTGACGTGACTTGAGAAGACAGGGCTCTTTACCATGAAGGGACCTGTGATGTGAGCTTGTATCTTCTCTCTTTAGAAGGACGTTTGGATTGCAGAAGAGGCTAGGGTTTCGCCTCTCTTCTCTCTCTAGGAGGAGATTTGGGTTGCAGAGGAGGCTAGGGTTTCACTGAGTTGGGCTTCACGATGGGGTTTGGGGAAAATCGATGGGTTAAATGGATGGTGATGGCCTAATGGATGGGTTAAATGAATGGGTTAAATTGACAACGAATACGGGTCGGATATGGGTCGGGTCCTGCTGGACCCGTACTCGGACCCGAGACTATTCGGGCATGATATCTTGGACCCGAACCCTACCCGCGGGGACCCGAACCCTACCCGCGGGTACCCGGACCCAAGTTGGGTATACCCACCGGGTCCCAGGTTGGGTATGGGTCCACTGCCACCCCTAATTGGATCTTTATTATTCTCCTTCAGAATTATGCTCCCGTTGATGCCATCGTGCATCAAACCCATCTACGTAACTTGCCATGTTATCAGTTTGTTCCTACTCAAACTCATAATCAGATTCGCACCAATCTCCACAAAAGCCCTGATGATTGGATCTATCCCTGTAGATTTCTCCTCATTTAGGGCACGCTATTTCTGGTCTCGCTTGCACAACAGCCATGTAATCCTCTACGTCAAAGTTGACTTCCTTACGCAATGGGATCAGATTGGCATCCCTACGGCTAAGACCTCCACAAGCAGCCGCTATCTCTAACTCTCTTTGAACTAAGTTCTAATACTACTTGATACAAGAAGAGAGGTGAAAAATTAAATCCACCTTTTTTCTAGGACCTCAAAAAGTAAAAAAAATAGCAATAATAGAGAAAAAACATGGCTATAAATCAAGCCAAGAGAGAAGAACTTTCTTCTTTCATAAAATAAAATTTCTTCTAATAACATAAACATCCAACCTCCGACCTTTTATAAGCTTATGAAACCTTAAAAGTGTTAAATTAATGTAAGATCCAAGTAAACAATTTACGACTCTAAAATACCCCTAAACAATACTAAAAATCTAGAAATACTTCTGTGACAGTAACATGTGAATAGTAACCCAAAAACAATACTGAAGAATAGTACCCATGAATAGTAACCAATTAATAGTAAAAAATAAAATAAAATTAATAGAAAATAAAATAAAAATAATAGAAACTAAGTGTTGGATATTAACCCACATTATAATTCCTAAAAATATCAATCCTAATAAAAAATAAAACATAAACCCACATCCATGAAATTAAACAAATAAAATTAAATTTTTGAATCACCCAACTCTCGATCCCCTTCAAATACCTACCTTTGAATCTTCATACTATCCTTTGAAAGCCCATCATCTGAGCTTATATACGAAAACCAAACAAAAGGAAGCATAAAACCAAATGTCTGGAACACTGTAATAAACAATAATAAAACAATTGAATAAAAATCACACATACAATAATTAGACAATCCAAAACTATGGCCCAAACATAACAGGCTCATGTATTCCCATGTCAATCAAGATTTCTTATAAATAAGTCCAAGAAACAGTGGATTATATTGCTTTGCACAATACGCAGATCATCATCATCATCATCATCATTTTAGCCTTTTCCAAATTAATTGGGGTCGGCTATATGAATCCTAGTTCTCCATTCTGTTCTATTAAAGGCCATATCCTCAGTGAGGCCAAAAGTCCTCATATCTATACTATAAGTTTCTCAAGATTCACGATGAGTTTTGGCAAAATTTTACATTAGCTGCCTACTTAACACAACCACGCCCCTTTACCCGGGTATGGGATAGTTCCCATTATTAGTTAAGGCATAATCCAGGGTAATTACAAATTTAATTTCAACTTGCAGCTAGGATAGATCTTTTGATTGAACATTTATCAAGAGAGGCCACATTCACTTGCAAAGCATGTTCAATGTCACATACAAAATAACAGCTAATAGAATTCATTTTTGGATTTACAAGTCCCTGATGCACAGAAACTAGAAAACGACTGGTAATTTCTGTCCAGACATTGACCTAAACAAAAAAAGATAGGCAATTGGTCCAACGCTCTGAAAACATATTGCAGAAAGTCAATACTGTAGTCATGTCCAGAGCCATGTCAAGGGATCATAATTTGATGTTCTGCTTCACAAAATAATTTAGCAGTCACTTTAATGTAAAATACTAATGCAAGTAAAACCAACACGGGTAAGTTCTGTGCAGCTGGTTGGCATAATTAAAAGCAGGATTTTTAAGTCCCAGTAAAATACATCAACAATTTTGCAGTCTTGGAACTGTGAAATATCTATGCAAGTAAATTCTGTAATGATGCATGTTACTAAAGGTGGACTGTTTTCAAATGCACAAAAAAGGCACACCCAAAAAATGCATTAACATTTTATCCTCAAAATGGAAGAATAAATAGCCTCATGAAAGCAACAACATTAGCATATGGCTGTCAGCAAAGATAAGATGAATAGTAGACCATGGTCCATTTATCAAAATAAAGAAACTCATGGTCCAAAGTTCCATTAAAAAGTCAGAACCACCAAGTAATGACGAACCTCTGCCCATGACGGCTCCAGTTCTGTAGCACCTGTGTGAAGAAAGAGAGAGAGAGAGAGAGAGAGAGAGAGAGAGAGAGAAAGTCTTGGAAGTCAGGAGTGGCATTTTATAGCAAAGTGACTACGATTATATCAGAAAAATACAATTTTACAATCAGTACAAAAGCAAATGCTACAAATATAAAGAGAAATCTGGAGTGCTCAGGAATTCTCCCTCAACAGACTTCCAACACAGATATTATCCCTCTACCACTCCCAATATAAATCGATCATAAGCAACCTAAACCAGGTCAAATGTCACAAGAATCATCCATGTCGCAGCGGAGGACCTTCATGAAAAAGTTCCCACCTATCTGGATCAATAAGACCCATAGCAATTTAATTTGCACAGAAGCAAAAGAGCAACCCATGTCATAGCTCAGATCACAAGGTGATATGAGTAAGTTATAGGAAGCGCACCAGCAGGGTCAAGTTAATTTTTCAATCATAAGAAAAACTGAGAGTAGTCAAAATGCGTTCTCGCCAAGTTTTTCTATTTTACCAAGAATATACCTGTTTTGAGATTCAAAGAAACTAACTGAATAGCCATTAACAACAATCACAAATAATGTTTATTTCTATAAAAGCTATTGATATACATTATTATAGAAGAAAATAAGATAAATACATTGTTTGGAGGAAAATTTTCCATCCAAATTCAAATTATTCCATTTGGAAGGTACCAGCCCCATCCACCACCATGGCCAACTCTTTAATCAAGCAGAACAACATTATGCTAATGGGATTAAGCTTTTATCCAATTGGTTGTCCACCTTTCAATTCCAGGTCCTAAAGGATAAGAGTGAATCATTTCATTAAAACCTCAGATTCTTCAAAATGCAACCCAAGGGTTTTCCGGAAACAAGTTCATGGGATGAGATATTGAATGCATGGGTTAGGACCGTAGGATTTTTAATGTGAGGTAATTGTTAAACACAGTCATGCTTGATGAGAGCAAAGAAATGAGGGACAAGAGCCAGGACTGTGACAAATACCAAATAGAAAACATGTGTAGTAGGACATTACAGTACAAAGGAAGAAACTTTCCACAATGCAATACAAGAAGCTGCCCCTACAATGAAGCCAAAGGCAAATGACAAACATGCCGGAATACTCTATGAGAGGTGTTGTGGAGGCCAGGAGAGGTGCACACAGTAGACCTGCGCAACCCATGGCTCAGAATTGCATCAATCTATTCCTCTCGAAGCCTAAGTCGCAATAGATGAACCTCGGAGGCATGATTAAAGGTTGAAAAGACTATTGGGAAATGATTCTATGATGAAGGGGATCCCTCCAATGAAGCCCACAGCCCATATTACAAGCCTATGGTTGCTATAATTTAGAAGGGGGCCCTATGGTGGAGCCTGAAACAAAAGGTATGCGGAATTCAAGGCTAAAAAATCAAAAATGTTCTTCTTTTCTTGATTATTGAATCTAAATTCCACTTACAAGTCATACAATACACTGTTGTACGAGAACATTAAAACCCTAAATACAACCTAGGACCTTTTTCTTTTAGTACTAAATAATAGATACAATCCAGGAATAAAAACCAAGCTTCTACTATCAATATGAGTACAAATAACGTTATTGAAAATCACAGTTAATATGAAAATGTGACTGAAAAACAAAAATAAACAGCCATGGAGACTTATTTGATTATGCCTAAGATCACCCCCATAGGACTTAGTACACCCAACATCCGATTTCCTGACGGATGACGCACTTCAATCCTATTGGTCTTGCTGAATTTTCAAAACAAGGACGCTTCCTTAAGCAATACTTTTTAAACTATGGTTTTAGAGAGCATAGAAACACAATTAGAGCATGTCTCAAAAAGACACCTCCCTTTTTTTAGGGTTAAACTAGTCCTCTCTCTAGAAAACCCTAATTATAGGCATGCCACCCTCTTTAATTTGTCTGTGGGTGGCGTGCCACTAATTGCGAGAGAGAGGAGATGGGCACTATAGAGAGGAGAGAGAGAGAGAGAGAGAGAGAATTAGGGTGTTAAGGGGAGAGAGGCTCCAAAATTGTGTGTAATGAGAGGGGGTACACCTTATAAAGACCTCAAGACCCCTCCTAAGCATGCCTATCCAATGACTCACCTTGACCAATAGGAAATTTGGAAATTTGTGAGGTGAGAGAGAATAAATCAGAGGCATCCATTCGACAAATCAGCCATCATGATTTTGGGAGGCTTATTAGGAACTTTAACCCCTTCATATTTGACCCATATCCACTTCTAGTTTAATTAGGATAAAACCAATTTAAAAGCCTTCTAGAATTTCTTAATTTCTCTCTAATTGTAGGAATTCAAAATAATATTTCTTGATAAAAACCAACTTCCACAAAAATAGGTGCACATAATCTTTTCTTTTCTTTTCTTTTTAAAAAGATTATTGAACTAATCACACTTAAAATAATTTCAATTAAAACAAGAACTAAAGAAAAAAGAAGGGAGGTGTGCCACCCCTATGGGTGACATGTGGCCCCTACGAGCCCCACACCCCACCCATTGGGTGTAGCATACATGTGGAGCTGGATCCAAGGGCCCCACATGTGCCCTTCCTTACAAATAAAAATTTGAAAATACCCTTTTTCAAGGAAATTGCAGCAGAAATAATTCTAAAAATTCTGAAAAATTCTAAAATTCATAGAAACACTTCTAACACTGAAAATAAAATATCTAAAAGGGGACATGTATCAAAAGGTCAAAACCAAGTGACTATAAAGGCACTTCACCCGACCCAGTAACCATAACCCATAATTGTCTTCTTAAACCAATTCAACGAAACCCATGACCCACAGTCTTATGCAGGGATTCATGATTAGCTTGTCAAAGCTGGGTAATAAACAGTGGAACCACACTCACAGCATGTGGATTACAGTTTCCCCCTTAAGAGCAAGTCGACCACATATCACTATAGTGCAAGGGAGACTCTCTATGCACATGTACATGTATCCCTCTTCAGGGTTGCTTCCTGGTAATGCGGCCGCCCTAAGTACATGTAGTGCCAAAGTTTGTTGAGGATTTACCCCTGTTCTCACAGGCTACATCCGCACACAGGAGACCACATAGCTCTCCGGACCTAGAAACTATCCATGTGCATCTCTTTGACCTCAACAAGAGATGACCCTTTGTAAAGCTTTTTCGATAGTGCCACATGCTCAAGGGTAAGGGTTTTGGACATGACCAAAGCCATAGACAACCTAACCCTTAGTCAATCAAATAATATACACTTCCACTAAAGTGCATAATCTACTCATAGACCAGCTGACCCTTAGTCAATCAAATAATACACCCTCCCATTGAAGTGTATAATCTACTTTAAATGTCTTTTACGTGCTCTCACGTCCTTTAAAGGCCGCTACCCAATAGAGTGGAAGATTTTGAAATTATATGGGGGAATTATGGAGAATTGGCCAAGAACGGGTGTCACCATCATGAGAGACAATTAGAAGGATAAAGTCAATCAAAGATATAATCTGAACTTTCTGGTTTATTGCTAATGTGCGACAACCAAGTAAAAGGATGCCTTTTACCACAATATAACGACTTTGTAATAGAGCTGGTCATACCTGGATCCCAACAAAGCAAAGTCAACAATGCCCTCCTATAACTCCACCATCCCCAGTGAAGGACTCTCATAGCTTTTGCTTCAAACCTCAAGAAAAACAGTATATCACCTTTTCCAAGCCATTTGCAGATTACTTGAGATCTAGTTCTCCACACCTATGTGACCAAAAATTCGACTCCTTACAGACTTTCTCTTCATGCATAGTCTACCAGTTGTGTATCTTTTAGGATCTACATCTACATCCTTCAATTTACTATCATTTCAATTACTTAATGCAAACAGCCTTCCCCTGTGACCGTGCTCTTCACCTTCTCTATGGTCAAGACACAACATGTGCATCTTCCAGGCATCGGAAAGCTACTTATTTGCCTTCATGTTTTGCAGAGTATTGCATACACAACTCTTCATTCTCCCTATGCCCTCTTCTAGGTTTGTATATTGGCAGGTGTCTTCTAGCAAAAGCCGGTGCTTGGAAAGTATGCCCACATTACTTTCCTTTTGGTCTTTCCTCTTATCCATCGGCCATCCCCTCGACTAGTGAAATCTTCTTTCAATCCCCTCTCCAGGGTCGCCTTTCTCTCCATAGTCATTCCAATGCACTTGTTCAATTCTCTCCCCTTGCTCCCCCATGGTCCCATTCTAGGACCATGTGAGGATCCATAATAGACACTTATCTTGCAATTGTATTTTCAGCCATGCAAATGTCAAAAAACCATATGCACAAAGAATTGAGTATTACAATCGAAACAAATATGAATTTCTAAACTTATAACAGCATCATACTCCCTTGGAAGAGAGCATACCGCTTGTGCACCTCAAAATTGGACCATGGGCAGGCTAGGCTGGGGAGGCTTTTAAAGAACAAAAGGGCAATCACATTTAAAGTTGTAAAGAAAAGTATAAAGATAAAATCAAATAAACCAAAGAAACACACGGACAGTGGACAAATTGTACCTCAAACAATGTCCAAATATTATGAAATTTTAATAGTTCGGCCTTGAGGCATTATATAACCACTCCACCAATTTCCAAATCAAATTAACTGTTTGATAGGATTTCTGATATTCCCTGCAGCGTAAGACTATATAATCATATTGCTAGGCTGTGGTGAACTCTGTTTAGATTCTATCTGAAGTTTTAGTGACTCAAAAACCACCCAAACAAAGGGTAGAGGATCTTTTGAGATTTTAGGATCAATGATTCAGTGGTCAAGGCTTGGTTTTCAAGGTTACAAAAGCAAAGTTCCTCATCTTTCAAATGTCTTATGTGTCCTTTTGTATATAGCATTTGCTGCAGCAAATTTCTACATCCACCAAGCCTTCAACGAGTTGGAAATCCAAAAGAATGTGAGAGACATGCCCAGTACTTCCAACGTCTCATCATGTCATGTCCCTGTCATTATTTGAACTCATCCCCTCACAATGTTAATAAGGTTCTCAGCCCAGAATATGGCTCTTTAATTCATTTTTCAGGAACTTTTTAATCATACAGAAGTTCTACACTCTCTCTCATCCATGCTTCTGAGAAGATTGGGACACTGCTGGACATGTATACACCTAAGCAAACAGATCTGCCGACAAATCCATAGCTTTTCATGCCACAAATAGCAGTTCTGGACGAGCCTTATCCTATGCTTCATGTTCTTCTAAACTTAGAGTGAGTATGTCAGTATCCTAGTACCATAGTTGCCGAAACTGGAAAAAGTTAGGTGCTCAGCTGCTACGTCTACTTCCTAGCCCGCGATGCCAACATTTTTGAGATGTTGGTTGTGATTTAGTTGATTGCATTTAATTTATCAGAAGCATAATATGATTGGTTTGAACTTAATGAATAATTTCCAAATGTTTTATAAAAATCTCTCATGTTCCTTCAGAACCAAGCAGACCAAATGTGTGGAAACACTGAAGGAAATGAAATAGCTGTTTATCTTCATTATAAAGCCAAGTAACAATGCTAGTATACAACTACATGAAGAGAGTAATATTCTCTAATGTCGAACAATGAAAAAAAAATCCCACAAGAAGAACATAAACTTGAATGTGAGGGGAAAACAAGCAAATTTGAAGAGATCATACGGGTTGCTGCTCTCAAAGCTTTCCATGCCTCTCCAAGCTCAAGTAAGACCTGCGCTTTTTGCTCATGTAGCACTGCCCTTTCTGGCATAATAGTGAGGGATGACTCCCACTTTCCAAGTGCCTCACGATACCTACCAATCTTTAATGAAAAAATAATATAACTCTTAGTCGGAATTGATCCAAACAAATACAATAAATAAATAATACTGTATAAGTAAATGTGAAGCAATTGCATACTTGAATCTTGAGAATTTAGATACAAAGGCAACCTTAAAGGATTTAAATCAACAGATTATGCAAGCCGCCACTGGTTGCTTGAAATGCATGCAGCCATGCAAACTCCTAGGTGATGCTTTGGATGCCAAATTATTTAGCTTGTGGCCTTGGGTTCCAGAAGTATGACAGCCAACTTCCATGAAGGAAGGGTTCAAATAAGTCATCCCCCATGCAAACGAATATGACCTACCCAAAACATGGAATAAAACTATCGCATGCTTCAATTTTCAGAAGCACTATCTTATGAATGCAATGATCTGAAGGCAGACTCGATTATCATGTAGAATAGCTAAGCTCAACATAGATCAATTTGAAATTTAGTTGGACCACATGAAAAATATCTTGGACATATAGCGTGAACAATCAATAACATCAGCTCAGTAGAGCAGTTCAATGCCAAGGCTCGTTTCCAAGTACAGGCACAGGATAACAAATAATCGTTACTGCAACATACAGTTTGACAGGAAAGTTTTTTTAGTACTGTGAGTATTAATTAAAGAGTTCTCACAAAGGGCTGAGGAGGCAGTGCAAAGTCGGGTGCTCATTACAAAAAATCATAGTCAGATTTGCAAGGGGATAAAAAATGACAAATTTAGAAGGGGATGGACACCCACAAAAGACGAGCACTTAGCATATGAAGTTGTTGCAAGTTTAGTTGGCTAGTGAAGGGGATCAAAAACCTGCAGTGGCTTCAACTGCAAAAGCTGAGGAAAGAGACAGATTTTAAGGAGCAGATGTAGTCAGATAGCATGGAGAGACGAGAGAAAAAAAGAGGTCAAGAGAGACAGAGGAAGAGAGGGGAACAGTTAGCATGATGGAGAAAACTGCTTAGAGAGAGGGTAGAGAGAAGAATGCCGCGAAATAACAGTAAATTTAACAAAAACGAAAACAAAGAGAGACCTGAACCAAAAACAAAGTAAAAAAAAGCAAGGGGCGTCTTATAGATGCACCATCTCAACAGCCCTCCCCTAGCAAGAGCATTCGCCAATGGCTTCCAGCTAAATATGATAGAAGACGACATGAAGACGCCCCCATAAATGAAAAATGTGGTCAAAGATATTACTGAGTCTCCAAGGATACCGAGAATTCCTGCTAGCCCAACCAAAAATAATTTAGAATCACCCTCCACTATGAGGTTCTGGCCCCAATTCTGATCAAACCTCTTTAAACCTTCTAGGAGTGCTCTAATCTAGGCCCAAGTGGCACACCTATGTAACAATGGAATGAAAAGATGATAGTTGCTTTGGAATCTCTAAAGATACCTCCGACACCACACAGTCCCGAGTTGCCCAAAGAGCAAGGTCTATATTTAGTTTGATGTTTCCCAAGTCCGGAGGGATCCACAAGGTAACCTTGGGTGCTTTGGAGGGTTTGTGTCTCATGTACACCCAATTTCTGATAAGTCCTACAGTAGATTTTGAGGTCTTTGTGGCTAGCGGCCCAAACAATGGTGATATTTCTAGCGTAAATCCACCATGGCTGGTCAGGTTCTCTTCTTTGCCCTAAAAATTCCTAAATTGCCTTCACCATAGATAATCCAAGGATAGGCAAAACCGTGGCCCTCCAGAGGAACAGGCCTGATTTAGGATAAAGGGACGAGAAGTAGGCTGAAAAGAGTTTGACACAAAAGTTATCTGAAAAAAATGTCCAAACAAACAGGTAAAAAGTAAAAACCAACAATTACTTGAGAGTTCAGTCATGCAAAAGCGCTACCTAAGTTCCACTGTATATTCTATTTTAAGGAACAATAAACTACAGAATTGAAGGGATTAGCATGGTTTGAAGCATGGACCAAAGTCAACATAAATATAATAGATAATAAATATAAACATTATTATAAATAAATAAATATAACATCACTCTATTGAAGCATGATTAGAGACATAATGAATTTTAATCTTGTATGCCTGGTAAGGGAAGTGGACAAACTTATTCATCTCGCAATTTATTTAGACAGACAACTTGTACAACGTGCACATATCCTATATCATGGTTTGCCGGGCCATGTGTTAATTGATTCACACCATAGAACAAAAGCTCCATGGAATCGCATACATATCACAGTTTCCCGAACTGTATGCTTACAATTGTAGCTTTTTGCATTTGATGGATTCAATAAATGCAGGCATGCATATCTATGGCATCTGTATAAAATCAATAATGGAAAAGCTTCTTGAATCCACATATTTAGTTGTCCTCTTACCATGTCACTTTATAGAATGCCCAAGTCACTAAGCAATCAAACTAAACTCTAAGGGCACATTTATTTGTTGTTAAACTATTTTCTCCTAGAATTGGGTTCCCAGGAAACTAGTATCATAATAGATTGTTTTTTAAGGCCTTTTCTCCCGTGTTTGATAACTGGTCGAGGGAATATGTTTCTTTTGTCTGGTAACATACTGATTTATCAAACCGGCTGGTTTGGTCCCAAGGTGGATCTGCCGATCCTGTAACCAGACCAGTCGGTCCACCAATTATTGATTGGCTTGGAGGACATTCAACCTAGAGGGGTAGACCAGACCAGAATGACCACCGATTTAAATAACAACGCTTCCAGGTTCTAGGAAATCCTCAACCATCAATTACCAACTTGCCTTAAGAAATTTGTTAATTAGCAGTTTGACTCCTTTCTTAGGCGCCCTGGACCCTCCAGGATTCCAAATAACATCAATATAATCAGATTTGCTCCATCTACCTCAGAAGCCACCAGTTACGACCAAGGGATTAAATGTTAAAATTGTTCACTTGCCCACACCAGCCCATAAAAGTCTAATGCTATTCAAATAGGCCTTTAACTTTCTTATGAAACACTATAATCTAGGTTTGTTTCCAATAAATCTACTCAATTTTGTTGTTCAGACATAAAGTCTTCATTCTTATTTTACAATTCAAGAAGGAACCATGACTGTCACTAAACTAATAGAACAACTTGCATTGTAGTCTACTATTCATGAAAGGCTAGCTCATGAACATTTGGTAATTTTATTTGCTTGTATGAATCAAGAGATACTCAAACAATAGCAATGCCAAACATGAACAACTCATTTTAGAAAGGGTAGTCATCGAGATGCGAAGCCTTCTTAGAACCAGGATAAGGCTACCAAAGAGTGAGTCTAGCTGGGAGTGGGCATGACTTTGGCAATTCAAAGACAAAGCCTGGGCTAGGGGTACTTGCATGGCAACTTGACGATGGCGTCAAGCTCTTCAAGTGAGAGAAGGTGGCTAGTCGCAGATGGCCCAAAGTCATCTAACTAAACCAAGATGTATAACTTAGTGCATAGAGGTTGTAAGCAAAGCGGTCTATAAAAAAGATAGACATGTGATGGGAAATAAGTAATGGATTGGCCAAGGAGGTGAGCTATCAACTACAAGTCATCGCTTCTACACTCCAAGGAAAAAGTTGTATAAGAAGAGATCCTCACTTTATAAGGAATTGTCACTTCAAAAGGAAGAATTGGTTGAGGTTAACATGATTCAGGGCCCATATCAATGTTGAAATTGGGAAATGTGAAATATTTGGAGAAATGAATCTCCCCAAAACCGAAAGTGAGTATGCCAATGGCGAGTGCGTATGCTAATAGATACAAGACTTGAGGCATTGAATGAATTCTTAAAATCGCTGGAGATCTCTCAGTTTGGGGAATCACAAAAGTAGCAGTCCATCGAAACAAAGGAAGAAAAGTAAATCTATGATTGAACATTTGTACTGGTAGTATCATGTAATTAAAAGTGAAAATTTTCCAAATCCTTGAGATCGTCTATGGGTTTATGAAGCCAAGGTTCAAATACAAATTCTTCAAATGAATCAAAAAACAATTATTCAACTTGTCATTGAAAATAAACAGCTGTAATGACAACTGACGTAAAAACTAAATAGTAAAAACGAAATAATGCTAAACAAGGTAGAAAAATATATGAATTGTGAAAAAATACATTAATAATGATATGAGTACATGATCTAATCACCTATAAGAGATGTCAAGCAAACCTTGCCTCCTAATAATCAAACTTTCCAAGAGATAGTGGTTTTCAGAAAGTGGAACTTAAAGATAAAACAATGGTTTCTATAAAGCCCAACAAAAGAAGAGGTTGCCCTGAAACAAAACAAGATGTGAGAGAGTGAATGGGGAGAGGTGTAAATTGGAGAGAGAGAGTTTGTGAACCTCACCTCAGCGAGCTTATCTCCTTGGGACTGGTAAAAGTTGGCGATGCGTAGATGATCATCATCTGTGTCTCTGCAAACAGGTGAGGAAGAAGAAGAGGAGAGAGAGGGGGGCCGCTCTTCTTCTTCTTCGTTTTTGCGGAAAGGGAGGTCCGAGGGGCAGGGCTCAAGTGGGCGGCGCCGCTTCCCGCTCTTCTTCCATACCAGCTGCATATCGTATATATTGTGGTGTTCACGAAATTAGGATGTTACGGTGGTCGTGAAGATAGGATTTTGGAGAGAGAGACTGGAATGTTATGGAGTTCGCGAAATTGTGATTTTAGAGAGAGAGATTGGGATGCTATGGAGTTTGCTAAATTACGATTTTAGAGAGAGAATGTTGAGATTGTTTGGGAATGTGAGTGCCCAACCTGCTTCGGTTACGATATAAAGAAAAAACGATTCTAAATCTTAAAAAATAGGTTTTTTTTTTTTGTAAATTTATCAACTTTTATTAAAATTAGATGTTTGTATAAGGTTGCAACCTTAAAATGTAGAATTATGCTTCAAAAATCTATCGGAAAAGTTGTTTTAATGTTGAAAAAACATCTAATTAAACATCTCGACATTGAGATGTATGAATATGAAAAAATATATATATATAATTTGAATCCCATAAATAGTGTATTTTGCAATCCATATGTTTATAGATCTACTTGATTTTAACTATTTTTGGAGTTTAAATTTTTCTAATTAAATATAAAAATAATTTTTAAGATAATCCTAATAATTTTTTTTACAACAAATTACATGTTATGGTAAAATTTGGAGGCGCACCTTAATTGGATTGTTTAAGGTTACAACCGTATAGAAATCACGCCCTTTATTTAAAGCTAATGTGATACAGTTACAACCTTAAAATGTAGAATTACGCCTCAAAATCTATCGGAAATGTTGTTTTAATGTTGAAAAACTATCTAATTAATCATCTCGACATTGAGATGTATGAATATGAAAAAAAAAAAAAATTGAGTCCTATAAATAGTGTATTTTGCAATCCATATGTTTATAAATCTACTTGATTTTAACCATTTTTAGAGTTTAAATTTTTCTAATTAAATATAAAAATAGTTTTTAAGATAATCCTAATAATTTTTTTACAACAAAATTACATGTTATAGTAAAATTTGGAGGCGTGCCTTAATTGGATTGTTTAATGTTACAACCTTATAGAAATCATGCCCTTTATTAAAAGCTAATGGGATACAGTTTCATCAATAGATACCAAGGTCTCCAATAAGGATGCACCCCTGTTGGCAAGGTAATAAACCACACTATTGGCTTCTCTATAAACATGCAAAAATGAAATAGAAAGTGAACTCCCCATATCCAAGACCTGAAGTAGCAACGACCTAAATCTCATGGCATCATTGGTTCCTTTTTGCACCATTTTAATAACATTTAGGAATCCCCCTCAATCAAACGAGGCTAAGAGCCTAAATTCCTAGCAGATAACAACTTTAGTCAGTGTAGAAGGGCACAAAATTTTGCAAAGTTATCAATGGCCTCGCCTAGCGGTCCAGCAAAGGAGAAAACAACACCTCCATCCCAATTCCTTACTACTCCTGCAAACCCTGCTAGCCCCAGGATCCCAATAGAGCTACCATCAAAACTCAATTTTAAAGCACCTTCCATTGGAGTATACATCGACTTTTAGGCCTACACTTGATGAAGCCCATTTGGAATGGGGAGATTGAGCCGCACATCCACTTCTAAAATTCCCCTCCCTTCTTTAGATCCCGATAGCCAAAACCACAATAAATTAATGATTTTTCTGGTAAGGCCATCCTAATCCCCAACTTCAATAGAAACCAATACCAAATCCTAGGGGCAAAAAGACAATGAAAAGATACATGCGAAAATGTTTCATTGTTGTTTTCACACAAAGGCAAACGTTTGGCATTACTTTCCCTCTCTTGATAAAGTTCTCAATTATCATAATCTTATCTTGTACAACCAGCAATACAAAATCCTGAACTCTATGCGGGATCAACCATTTTCAAATTTGAGCAATTTGAGGCATGGACCATCTCCAATGATCGTGAAAGAGAAGTATGTTTATCGACTCCCACACTACCTCGTCATCTGCAGAGTTGGGGATATATAGATGGGTCAGGATTTCCAATAAAGGCACTAAATTGAGAGTAAAGATTATCCAAAATCCTATTACAACGGAGATTGATATTCCAAACCACTTGATTACCGCTAAGCTCAAACATATATGCTATAATTGCATAGGGGTTATCTATTTTTTTTCAAATATATCAGAAAAGGCAATTTTTAAGGGGCAATCAGCTATCCACTTGTGGTATCATAAATAAATATCAATACCGCTACCAAAACTCCATTGAATATTTTGATGTATTAGCGCTTTACACAAAAATATATCTCTCCAGATAAATGATGAGTTTCCAACCCCACCCCGAGCTCCAATCCACATCCCAAATCTATCTACCCTATGCTTAGTCATAAGAACTTGATACCACAATTGGTCATTGGAGTGCAAACTTCTCCACCACTACTTACAAAAAAGAGCTTGGTTGACCAAATCTAATTTTCCTTAACCCCAAACCCCCTTCCTTTTTTTGGAGAACAAATCCTATCCCATCTTAAAAGAGATGGAATTTACGTGAGGCATCAAAGGAACCCCATAGTAAATATTATTGAAGCGTGGATAAGATCAGAGAAGGAGTGTTTATAAGGCTGGTGATCGCAGAACCCGGATTTTTATCCCTTCGCCTTTTAGAGAGATATACGTATTTTTCTTGTTGTACACTTCTCTTTCACTCCTCATTTATAAAAAGAATGGGTAACCGTTGTATTTATCCAATGGGTCTCTGAGAAACAAAAAGGTTCCCTAATCTCCAACGGGTTTCTGAAGGGTTATATTCATATGGATATGACCGTTGGACGAAGGGTTACGATCATATGGATATGACCGTTTAATATATTGAATTTCCCATAAATGTAGGCTAAGACATGTAAGGCCTCACAGCCATAACATCTCCCACTTGGCTATGACGGTTGAGCATAATAAGTCACATGCATACTCCCACTTTTGAGTATGACCTTTAAGAAAATATCTTGTCATGAGGTTTTTCTCACACTTTTGTGGATATGCCTCTCATAACAAATGTCTATCATAAAGATTTTAACGCGAATGCGGATTTCTCACTCATGAAAATTGTATGACTTAAACATTTTTGAAGTCTCATTAAGCTAGTATATCATGAGGATTTTTTACGCTAATGCGGATTTCTCACTCATGAAAACTAACTGACTTAAATATTTTTAAGTCTCATTAAGCTAGTGTGCTTAACTAGCAGTTCAACACTTAGACTCTTCGTTAATGGATCAACGATCATATCTGATGAGGGCAAGTAACTAACAGTTACTTCACATTTCTCAACTACATCCTTAATGTAGTTATATTAGACATTTATATGTTTTCTTTTTTAGTTATTTGCCCTACTTTGAATTAATTTAATTGTGGCTTGATTATCACAAAATATTTTGATCGATCAGTCAATTATTTGCAGCTTCAAGTTATCTATGAAGCGCTTTATCCAGATGATAAAAGTACAAGCAGTGCTACATGCAATGTGTTCTTCTTCCTGTGTACCTAACTACACACCCTTGTTTATTGTTAGACAAATAAACAACAGCCCCTCCAAAGAGGAAAATATGTCTTGAGGTGGACTTACTGTCGTCTTTATCCCCAGCAAAATCTGCATCCGAATATTCTATAACTTCAAGCTTATCTACTTAAAAATACAATTTTAGATGTTTTGTTCCCTTAATGTACCTTATAAATCTTTTTACTGCTTTCCAATGAGTTATGCCTAGATTACTTTGATATCTGCTAACACGTCCTACGCATAACTCTAATATGACTTTGTACATCTTACTGCATATACCAAACTACCAATAGTTTGTGCATAGGCAACTTTAGGATTTTATTGTCCTTCTACTGGATAATCCTTCCTAAACAACTTTACTCTATTTTCAAGGGGAGTAGACAATGACTTACAATTTTTCATTTGAAATCTTTTAAGAACAGAGTCAATATATTTCTATTGGTTCAAGCACAACATTTTTTATTTTCTCTTTCTAGTTGTTTTTATGCCTAGACATAAGATACTTATCCCAAATTATTCATTTCAAACCGATAAGAAAGCCATGACTTAGTCTTATCAATCGCTTATAAGTCATTTCCAACTATTATAATGTCATCTATATATAATGAGAGTATTGTAAATTTGCTATCACTCTTCAAGACATACACACAATGGTCAAATCTATTTATTTCATATCCCATATGTATAATGACATCATGAAATGTTAAGTACCATTATCTTGAAGATTGTTTTAAATCTTATAAAAAATATTGTTGCTCGCCACTTAAAGCGGCATATGCCTATTTTTGGTAGGTTCATCTCGTAAGGGATAGGAACATCCCTTCAAATGGGATGTTGCAAAATAGTCCTTTTTTTTTAATGAGGACAAGGCATCCATTGCCCAATCGTAAGAATGGATAGCATATATGGACTTGAAATTTACAAGAATTTCCATATTAGTACTAATATCTCATCTCAACTATATGCGGGAGCACACGACAAAATGCGATACATCCACATAAATGGTTGATATGCATATCATGCTGTTGTGTCATGAATACCATGCATGCATCTATAGGCCCATATGCTTCAATACAACTACATAATGGATTACGCAGCCATATTGGATAACTATGACGTGCACTCCCACACATGAATACGAATGTACTCCTATAGATGATTAAACAACCAGAAAATGAAAGCAATCATACAAGCATAATAAATTCACCCACGATCATAGCTGATTGTTCATCCCAAATGTGTTCATGTCAAATAATATGACACATATAGATGATTAAATAACTAGAGAATGAAAGCAATCACACAAGCATACTAAATTCACTTATGATCATAACTAATTATTATGGGCTTTTGTTATATTATAGGGAAATAGGATATCCTGAGGCCCTCCAGTACCATGTTACATTTAAATCAATCTCAAATGAAATCCAACACTTTTTAACCTATTGGCCAAGATGCGCATAATTACTAGAAAGCCTCAAATCCATCAGCATACTACAAATCAAATTTGCTGATAAATAGTTTCAATAAGAACTGGCCTATTACCGTGGGCCCACATAGCCTTCCTATGCAACTAGGTATTTGCCAAATGTTTACCCCCCCCAAAAAAAGTCAATTGTCAATTGACTTCATCAAAAACCCCTTTGTCAAACATTGTAAATTACAACGCACCCTTTGCCGAGATTGTCAAATAACAGCCGCAAGTACATGTGATGCTCTATAACT